CAGGCTGTGTGGGGACTCCTGGGAGGGGCAGGGGGGGGCAGCCAGGAGTGGGATTTGGGGGTTCTCCGAACTGCACAGAATCTTAGCTAGAGCAGAAGCCCGCCCCTGACAGACTGGTACTTTGATATATTCCATCTCCCGCTTCTTTTCTGTTTCCTCTTTGATTCTTGTCTCTTCTTCAAGGTGGGCTTCCGGAAAGGGGATGGCCTCCTGCTGAGTCGCCTTGGCTCCCAAATCCATCTGAAGTTGGTCTTCTGGGTGATTTCCCTCTTCGTGGCGGTTCTGCTGCTGAGTACAATCATAGCCATGGCCATCCAGTACAGTAAAGGTAGGTCAGGGCCAGGTGTCGGATTCAGCCGGTTTGGATTGGATGCTAATTTTTACATCTGGTTCACCAAACTAGTAGTTGGAAGGAGTGGCTGGCCCCGCCCAACCCTCCCAGGAGTTTATCATGGCAGGTAAGTGCAGGGCCCGAGCGGAGGCTCTGGGAAGGTGAATAATGGGCTTTTCGGAAGTCTGGAAACAGGCCTGTTTCTGGCCTCCGAGGAGGCTCCAGAGCCCGGCGCCCTCCTAGAGACTTGAGGAAAGCCTCCAGATCCCCCAAACCGGCCATGGTGCAGGAGGCCGAGTAGACCACGCCCCCCCCACAACGCCACACTTCCCAGCAACCGGGCAGAGAACTGGTTGCTAAAAATTTTCAGTCCAGCTTCCCATTGACTTCGCTTGCCAGGAGGTCGCAAAAAGTGATCACGTGACCCCAGGACGCTCCAACCGTCATAAATACAAGTCAGTGGCCAAGTGTCTGGATTCTGATCACGTGACCATGGGGAATGCTGCCACCGTCCTAAGTGTGAGAAACGCTCATCATCAGAAATCCCTTTTTTGGTGCCTTTGCGACTTTGAATGGTCACTAAATGGACGGTTGTAATGCAATGTGTGCGCAACCCCCCCATGCTCCCCTGCCCCACATACATGCGCCCCTCCCCCATTTTTGGCTTCCAGGTTGGTGCAGGAGGCCTTCCACGGCAAAAACAGGGTGCAGGGGAACTGTGCGCAGGGCCCGAAAATGGAATGCAAGTTCCCCTGTGCATGCACCATGATCCTTGCGCATGCACATGTGTGTCCCCCCACATGCGCTCCACGCCATGCATGCATGGCAGAGACCTGAAGGCTAGCTGGTCAGGTGTGTGCGCATGTGCGGTTCAGCTGAGCTGGGGCGAAGGCTGGTTTGCCCGCAGAGAGGGCACTGTGTGCCATTTGTGGCATGCGTGCCATAGCTTC